TCCTCCCCTCCCAACCGGTACCCTTACCCCCCCCCCCCTCCCCCGAATCTCAATCCCCCACCACCCAGAACCTAACCCTCTCAGAATCCGCACCCCCGCCTCCCCCCTCCCAGCCCCCATCGCAACCGAGACAAACCAACGCTTCACGCAAATCACGCACCTCTTCGAATCCACCCTCCCCGACCTCGCCACCCTGCACCGCCACCGCTACCAGCGCCAACTCAGCGGCGCGATCCAGGAGTTCATCGAAGCTCTCTCCTTCCGCCACTACCTGACCACCCAGACCCTCATCACCATGCAGGAAGTGCGGGCACATCTACCGGAAGGCATCCCGCTCACGGAGGAGGATTACCTGATGGGGATTTTCGATCTCACCGGCGAGGTGATGCGGTTTGCGGTGACGGGGTTGTCGACGGCCACTATTGACGATGCAGATCATCATAATACTGGGAAACGGGAAGGAGAGGGGGAGCGGGAGGGAGACGGCAAGAAAATCCACCTCCGCCCCGAGCAAAGCGCCATCGTCGTGGATCTCCGGGCGATGCGGTCGGCCATCGAGCTCCTGAGTATCCCACGACGGCATGCGGGATCCATGTTCCGGGATATCGGCCGGAAGACGGAGGTGATGCAGGGGTCTGTGGAGAAGGTGGAGCGCGCGGCGTATGGGATCCTGGTGCGCGGGAGTGAGCGGCCCAAGGGCTGGAGGCCGGATTTAGGGGCGGCGGGTGAGGATTCCTATTGATTAAGAGGATATCGTCTTTGTTGTATGATACATGATGCACGGGTGATTGGTGGTGGTGGTGTAGGATTAGAACTATGCTCGGATTACTGCGACACAAAAAAAGGAGTAATGTGTAGTGCAGGGGTATGAACAGAACAATGTGAGGGATGAATTAACAATAATAACACTAGCACGGGCACTACCTGCTGCTGCTGCTGCTGCTGCAGTACAGTCTCGCCCGCAACAAACCTCAATCCGCGAGCGAAATACAAAGTGAACTCAACAAACGCCATTCAGCCATCCAGAATCAATCATATCTTACCACATCCGCACTACACCCCCCCTCCCCCGACTAAACAGTCGGGAACCGCGGATCCTCTTCCTCCGTCAGTATCCCCTGCGAGATCAGCTCATCCGGCGCCGGCCGGGCCCCGATCTTCTGGTCAAGATGATCGGCCAGCATGTGCTTCTCCAGCTCCCGGGCGTTGGCTTGCAGGGCGGGGGCGGCGGTCGACGAGGGGAGGATGTTGCCTTCCAGACACACACACATTAGCATATCATCCAACGTTCGAGTATACATTGCACCACGCTAGAGGGCTGTGGGGTAGGGGGTGGGACACACGCTCAACAAGTTCCTCGCGGTCGGGTCGGTGCTCGAGGTGCTTCTTCAGGTCGTCGGCCATGCGGTGGCGGGCGAGGTCCTGGTGGGCGGCTTGGAGGGATCTATACGATTTAAGATGTTAGGGCGGGAGGGAGGGCAATACGGTGAGATCTGTTGCCTCTTTGGTGGTGACACGTACGGAGCCACATTAGTGTCGAGGAGGATGTGTCGTTCTTTCAGGTCCTGGACGTCCGGGCGATGCTGGAGGTGTTTCTCGAGCGAATCGCGGCGCTCGGTGGGGGATGCGGAGAGAGGGGTCTGGTCGATGGCGCTGGCGCTGGTGTCCATAGTGACGTATGTTTTCCGAACAATATAGATGGGTGTGTTGTTGTTGCAGTGACAAGAGATGCTGTAAAGAAATTGGTGGAGTACTCGGGTGCAAGAACTAAGGGAACTCCCGAGGTATAAATAAGTTCAGTTAATCCCTCCCACCAGTTCAAACAAGTCAAAGGATCACCAGCAGCTACGTAGGTTGTTGTTGTCAGGGCGATTGACGGGGTGGTCAGGTCAAGTGATGGCCCAGTGGCAGGCCGATCCACGGGACCCCAGCCTAGCCCAGTCCAGCCAACTGGTGGCGCACGATGTCATATGTGGAGAGAGATCGCTATACTTCCTACTCCTTCAAGCCCATGATACAATATGATACGATGTCACAATAACTCATATTGTCTGGCAAGCTACCTTGATAAATATTCCGAGTATTTTGAACCTGCTCTTCTTCCCTCCCCCCACCAACACAACCCCTCCACCAGTCCAAAATATGCCCACAAAATCGATCGTAAAGCGAAGAACAACTGCTGTATCTGTTTTCGTAATTGCAGAGTAGAACATGTCGAAAAGCTAGCTTCCCTCCGGACATAATCCTTTTTGCTCCAGGCTTCCTACCAGCAAAGTCCTAGGAGGGAAAATGAAAGCAAACGCTCCTCCCACTAAAGCAAAAGTGATGGACCCAGACAGCTACGAGCCTCAACAGAATCTCGAGACGTTCGTCAGAGGAAATCGGGCCAACATGTAGCCCGGTTCTCCGACAGCCCCCTTACCATCTGAGCGGTCATCGTTGTAGGCTCTCTCGAGACTAAGCGCTTAGATCTCGTCTACCAGTTCGGATGCCATGCCACCTGTCCAGGACCCATTCGCCTCATCCATGAAGTCAAGTCGAAATCGACAGAGGTCGGACTAAAAGGCAGCCCGGGTAAAGGCAGAAGGACTCAATTTTGTTGCTTCATGTAACAACCGCGTCGGTCTTCATCGGTATTGGAAAACGTGCGATTCGTCCGTCGTATGATTGACGAACCGGCCAATACGATCAAGGAACCCAGAGTTTTCCACGACCCCGGCTGGTACCACTACCACGAGTCGGGCCTCGGGAGGCGCCTCGGCGGTTGTTGGCATGGTTCCGAGACGCACCCGCGATGCCCCGTGCGGCTCCCGACTGAGTGCTAAGGTCGACCGTGGGTGGCTGCTTGGTGGGACCAAGAGAACGACTAAACGAATTCGGATCGATAGGTTGAGTAGGGATCTCCATAGTCGCCTCGACAGGCGGGGCAACACTTTTGACGACAGGCGCCTTGCGGCTGTTGACCCCACGAGAGCCGCCGCCGCGCGTCGCTCCCTTGCCCCGACCGCCGCGAGGAACGAAGACGAGCTCGTCTTCGTCACTCTCATCCTCGTAGGAAAGAAGCGATTTCGGTTCGCTGGTCGTCGCCTGAGTCTTCTCGACATATTTGCATCGGTTTTTGTACTCTCGCTCTTCGTATTGAATCGATGTTCGCAGCTGATGAATGTTCTTGACCCCAATGCCGAATTTCTGGGCCCAAAGCTGGGTCTGTGGATCGTTCGTAATCAGAATACAAGTCTTGGCGGCGTTCGAAGCATCGGGCCCCTGGTGCAGTCGCCACAGCAGCGCGCTGAGCAGCGGCCTGAGCACAGGCGGGACCGTGGGGATGGCCGACCCAGACGCAGAACGGCGATGTCCCTCGGCGCGCTTCGTCTTGTTGTCCTTGGATCCTCCTTCGTTGGTTATCACCTGCGAGTTTACACATTCGGGGCTGGTCCGAGAGCTCCGGGAAGACGGGCGGGAGGGTGCACTGTGGGTTCCGTTGGACGTGTTCGAGACTGCGTCGAGTTCCTTTTTGAAGTTCAACTTGCTGAGTAGCATCTGAGAGAGATCATCCGGGGAGGCGCCGTTCTTTTTGGATATTTTGCTCTTTTCGTCGGGGTGCGCCGTCTGGCCGTTTGAGACGAGTCCATCGTTCGCCTCCGGATCCTCCTCGAACTCGGGCAGGAAGAACTTCTCTGCCTCCGTCCACTTCTCGTATTGCTCCATGGGACCCTGCAAAGCCACCCGTTCGGAAGAAATGTTGTCCTTGCCGGAAGTGACCCGGTCGAGGAACCGGACAGCCTCGCGGGCATTGATGGCGACCTGCGACCCGGCTCTCTTCAGTGCATGGAGGCGTTCAAGGGCTGAAGAGGAGCACTAGATCAGTAACCGTCAAGGTAAATGAACTCCGCTCGACTTACTGTACAGGGGCACGATCAGAGTGATGGCCCCGTTGGTCGTCCATTTTTTGATTTCGCTGATGTTGGTGGTTAACGCCGTCTCATCCACGGCGCAGTGGAAGACCTTGCGTCCGGTCGTCATAATTGCCCTCGGGCGATCGACAGAACAGGTCGCGTCGCTTAAAAATGAAGATACTCGCACGGCACAACGGCCCTATACCAAATAGCTAGCTTTGACGACTGCGACCGAGCCGCAGGCGTGGTTAGCGTGATGCTGGATCCAGCGAGGGAGGTTTGATTAGGATTAATGGAGGCGGAGGAATATGGGAATGTGGGGGCCCTGGCTCGCAGCCAGAGAGAGTAGTGGACGTCCCGGGAGGTGTGGCCCCGACTTCGCAGGGCGTCGAAAGGGCTGACAGTTTGACTTACAATGCAATCCTAATCCACAAAGAACGGTCATCTGCAGCATTTTGCGATTCGAATAAACGATTGTGTGAGGAAAAAATGAGGCAATGAGATGAGTGAGAAGGAGGAAGAGGAGAGGACCTTCAGCAGCGGATCAACTCCAAGCCGCGGGATTCGTCGGCATCCTGACTAAGCGCAGGATAACTCCGCCCGTGACTATCAGTTTGATTGTCTACGAGAATTGGGTGGTATTTATGCAATTTGACCTCAGTCTTACGACAAGCTCACTGGGAGTTGACTAGTAGGAGTCACTCACTTAGCTCTGACTCCCCGTAACTGAAATCGTTCATGGTCACCATTACACACAAGTCTTCTATTCGGGACATTTCATCCTTTGCGTACAGTTTATGACTCGAGTTGGAGTAATCTCCTGGTATGTGCTGTCGCTCGAACAAGTTGGAACAATTGAGAGAAGGAAAAAACCATCATGTCATACCAATAATAATATCCCAGACTCTGGATAATAAGCACCGGGCTAGGCCATCAAAATTCGCATTGTCTAGACCGTCTTCTTAATCAGACCTTCTTCGGGCTTAACACGTTGTGCCCATTCACTATCGGCGGGGTCAGCAAATAAGCCATTGAAGAGAGAAGATAGGGTTCCAAAACTCACGTCCAGCTCCCATCATAAACCCTCCGAAGGTTTGGCTCGCCGTATTCCGCCTCGGCCAATGCCGTCTCGATGATAGTCGCCGTTACACCGGTACCGCACGAGCTGATAATCGACTTACTAGTGTCGATGTCCTTGCTCTCGAAAATCCTGCGCAGCTCGGGGCCGGGCAGGAACGTCTTGGTTTCGGGGTCCAGCAACTCCTGGAACGGAAGGCTCTTAGAGCCCGGGATGTGCCCTGAAGACAAGCCCGGGCGCGGTTCAGGGTCGGTGCCCGCCCAGCGGCCATAGGACCGTGCATCAAGGATCTCCACTTCTTTCGCACCTTCCTTTCTGTGCTCCTTGGCGATCTCCTTCAGCTCCCGGTACGGGATCACGAGCTTGGAGTCGTAGGTGGGGACAGGGTAGTTGGTCTTCTCAGGCTGCTGGGGCTCTCCAGTCTCCGTGGGGAAACCCTCGGCAACCCATACTTTGTAGTTGTTCAGAACATGGACTCGCGGGTGTCCGAAGACTCGAAGGGTCCAACCAACACGAGGCGCGCTGAAGATACCGACCTCCGCGGAGTCGTAGACCACCACTTCGTCGTCCCGGCGAATACCCAGCTCGCTCATGGCTTCGGCGAATGTTTCGGCGGTGGGAAGCATGTGCGGGTATGGAGATTCATGATCTTTGACAGCATCGAGGTCGAAGAAACGAGCTCCGGGGATGCGGTGTTTGCGGAAAATGTCGATACCTTTGCGACCCTCGGGGTCGTTTGGCATGAACCAGGCGGCGCATAGAGGGACTACGCGTGGGGCGGTTGAGATCTTTGTAGCTGGGTTCTTTTTCAAAGCAGTGTCCAACTCTTTAGGAGTTACCAGATATGAAGCGAAAGAGTAGGAGCGACTCTGGAGTTGCTGGCGCGCTTGTTGTGAGAACGACATGGTAGAACGGACCAGGCGAGTCGGTGAAGGGATAGAGTTACGAAGAGTTGCGAAAGCCATATTGAGAGAGTAAGGAAGGAAGTGGAGGCAAGAGGGTATTTACATGCCGGTTAGGACTTAGGAAGTGGGATTATCTCATCCACCAGCTAGAGCAGGGAAAACGATAAACGAGATGAAGAGGGGTTGATGATGAGTGTGTGTGCGGAGTAGTGGAGGAGGAGGAATGAATGGAATGAGAATGGGTTGACTTCCTTTCCTATCACCGATGCGGAGAGAGCGGCCGACCATGTGAAAATCAACCGGGTAAACAATCCCGCTTATCGATTCCACTTTCCTTCCTCCTCCCAGTTTTGCGCCCTCACTCTCATGCTCTGGTCTGTTGTCCAACCTAAGTAAAAGCTCAAGTCCAAATCAATCATGAAGGTCACTATCAAAGAGTGGAACGCCGTCGCGACCTGGCGCTGGGACATGCCCGACGATGAGGTCTGTGGTATCTGCCGCGTCCAGTTCGATGGTACCTGTCCGACCTGCAAGTTTCCCGGCGACGATTGCTCTTTACGTGAGATCTCTTCTTCCTGCCCGTTATCGGAGTCACTTCTAACTTAACTGATGCGGGACTCCAGTGCTTGGGAAATGTGGCCATTCCTTTCATATGGTGCGATTGCGGATCCCAATGTCCTCATGGCGCAAGCGAGACACTACTGACCGAACCCAGCACTGTTTGATGACATGGATCCAGCAAGAGTCCTCCAAGGGGCTCTGTCCCATGTGCCGACAGAGTAAGTCATTATCATGGCATCACTTTCTGAATATGCACTTACGCTGTACGTGCAGAATTCGAATGGAAACAAAATGACGAAGAACAACAACAACAATAGCTGATGAAGGACCATCTGCTGGTTATTCGAAGAAGGCGTTGACAGGCTCAGCTACTACGATACCCATTCCATTATATCTGCTTTCACTTTCATTGCTCATTGTTATATGCAATTCTGCATCTCCTCATTCATGTACATATACCCCATCCTAGCAACCATCCCAAGCAGCGCCGAGTATTTACAATCGGCGACCGGATCACCTGACCAGTCTTATCCCGCCTTATCGATAAGAGTGCAACCCAGCCAATCGTTCGATCGCAGCCAAATTCCCCAGATTGGATCGATACTCACTTCAATACGACCCTGAGCTATCCCGAGTCACCCTCGAACATAGACCACAACCATGATGTAGCCTCACTCTTCCTTCCTCCCTCACCCTAATTCCATCTCCCACCAAAAATGTCTCTACCAAAACACACCACCCCGTCCCCCCTCTCCTCTTCCCCATCCAAACAATCCATCCGCCGCATCTCAGCCAACCACAACCACCTCCCGACCTCCCGACCCCAAAGCGTCATCGACCGACCGCCAACCGCGCAACAACACCACCTCGAAAACATCCCCGACCCACCACCACCACCACCAGCCACGATCCCCCCGGCCCCCCTCACCGACCAACCCATAATTTCACCAACGTCAACGTCCGCCTTCCAGCCCTTCTTCACCCTCATCGAAGACGCCAACACCTCCGAATACCACCACCCAACCGTCCACTACATCTTCGCCGACGACGACACCGACATCGTCACCGAAGCCACCCTCCGCGCGCTGGAGAGCGAATCCGATCCGACCCTCGCCTACAATCCCAATACCCGAAAGAGCCACAACAATAAGACTCGATCGCGTCGACCGCAGCAGCAGCAACAACAACAAGAAGAAGAAGAAGAAGGGGCACAAAACACATACGAAGATCAGGAGAAAGGACCCTCCCTACTACCGGATTCCATACCAGGAGTGCGCGAGCACTACGTGATTCTTGACGTGGACTATGCGTTGCCTGGTGGTGGTTTGGGGGTGGAGGAGATGAAAGAGCAATCTGGGAATACTACTACTGCTACAGCTGGTGGGGAGATGCTAGCGACATCGCCACCGCAACAGCAGGAGCCGCATCACGGTGCTCCAAGTGGTAGTGACGAGAAGTCGATGGTGGTGACCTCGGCGCATAGTCTGTCGCCGGCGTGGCAGGTGCTCGATACGCAGCTGGGCCCGGCGCCGACGTTCGAGAATAATACGAATAATACGCCGTCGCAGGGGCAGGGGCAGCAGTCGGTCAACGGGGGACTGATGTTGAAGATCCGGGGCACCGCGGGGTTGCCGATCAATAATTTGCTGGGCAAGGAGCGGGATAAGGAGCGGGGCTGTCAGCGGTTGGAGGAGATGATGGATCAGTTCGCGAAGCGGTTGGCGGAGCTGCGGTTGGTGATTGAGGCGGGCGGGCTGGGGGAGCAAATTGAGGATGCGGAAGTGGAGTCTTCCCCGGGTGTGAAGATGGATGAACATGGCGTGGAGCAGGGACAGCATGAGAATGGGCAGGATTTGGTTGAGGACGCTACCGCTGGGAAAGAGATGGGACTATAGGGGTTTGGCCGATGGAACATCCTGGTACTAAGATACCTTTTGAGTTGGAAAACATATCGGCTCGGCGAGATGCATTTTTAGCGTACGGCGTCACTGTCTAGCTGTAGGTAGGCTTCAGCCCATCTACTCGGGTTTTACACTACGAATTTGGAAGATGCGAAACTTCGAAGTCCATGACTGTAGAATTCTATCACGTCAAACCCGGGTATCTTCTCATCCCGCGGGAACCCTATACGAGAACAAAACGCCAGGCATTGGGGAGCCCGCAAGTAACAATGCTCCAAACGCGGACAGACAAATGCAAAACAAAAACAAGCGAATACCGTCTCCAGATTTATCTTAGCCAAGACCAGGGGTATCTCAAAACGCCTGCCGCAAGGTATGAGCGAGCGGTGTGCTTCCGCACAGCGAAAAAAAACAAAACGTGATAAGATCAAGGAGAAGGCCGATTTCGAAGTCTTCTGCCACTCGGGGTTTCCACAGGTGGTACATTCTCTGGGCCCTCCATGATTCCAGCCATCTTCCGGTTGAGTAGTTTCTGAGGTAGTTTGGCGTCAGCGGTCGTGGTGCTTGAACAACGTCTCTTGGGAGGCGGCTGCTCTGCACCATCACAGTCCGCATCAACCGTCACGATAGAGGACTTGCGCGTGGCCTTGTCATCGGCCGCACTAGCTACGAGGCCCTTGGCGGCGACGTTTGCATCGACTTCCCTAAGGCCGCTGTTGGAAGGTGTGACAGTGGTCTTGGGTGGTAGAGATCCTACCTCGTCCTCGGTGTCGTGAAAAATGAATCCTTTCGCCGGTGTGGTGGCAGGGGAGCTATCAAGCACCGAAATTCGGTCTTCGCCACTGAAGGGAAGAGCCGTAAACTCCCTAGAGGTCCTCAACCTTGATTTGATGTTCTCATGTGCCTCAGTCCGAGGCAGATCCGCAGGATACTCATAGTGACGCTTCTTGGGGGTGATGCCAGTCGCAACGTACTCAGCGAATGCTCGGCGTTGAATGCGTTCGCGAAGCTCCAAGAGCGACTTCCTCACATCGTCTGACAACGGCATGGCAGACTCGTGTAGATTTGTCTGCTGCTGGATGGCCCCTTCCTTTAACTCCTGAAGACGACTGCCCAGGTCCGACAATTGTGTGTGGACTGAGTCATACGACTCGTGCACGTTGGAGGACATGTTCTGGAGGCTTGAAAGATGGGCGTCTCGGTAAACACCATTCTGAGAGCGTGCCTTGGCTACGAAATCATCCAAAGCTTCCATCTGTTTACTCATATTCTTCATCTGAGCATCAACGATTCGAACGGTTTCTTCATGCACCGCCTCAGTTGTCTTGTGAATAGATGCGTTGCGTTGTTCGAAACTCTGCAAGGTGGTCAGTATTGATGTTTTTGAAGAGGAATGATGCGAGTTAAAACTTACCTCCCAGTCACTCTGCATCTTCGATTTCATCTCGTCCTTAGTGGCAATCACATCTTTAGCAAATTGCTCCGACTTGAAAACCCATTCATCAACCTGGCGGTCATAATGGGCGGTCGCATGCTCCAAGGAGTCACCCGAAGCAGAGAGCTCAGTACGCATCGTGTCGATCCTGCCCTTGAGACGGCTACACTGCCTTTGGCGGGAGTCTTCGATGAGAGACTTCACTTGAGAAAGCAGGAGATCACGCTCAGCCTCTGCATTTGCATTCTCCTCTTCCAGAGTCTGTGCCAAATGCGACGAGACTTTGCGATTCGCCTCGACAGCTTTCTGATTGGCTTCCTGAAGTTCCAATCTCAGCTTGTTGATCTCCATTCTTTGCCCGTTCAATTGAGCCACCATTTCCTCAAATACAGATTTGAGGTCCTTCCCAAGGGTGCTGTAAGATGAATGAAGCTGGGCATTGAAATCCGCGAATTCGCCAATCACCTCCTTGGAAATGCGAGCAGCAGCGGCAGACAGACCATTGAGGCCTTCACCGACTTTACCCTTGACCTCTTCACGCAGGTCCTTAATCTCTTCAAGTACTTCGTTCATCTCGTCATGGGCAGCGCATGTCTGTGAATGGGCCTCCCGCTCGGCTTTGTCAAAAAAGTCGTTAGTCTCTAGCAGCTGCGATTTGTTCAACTCGATGTTCTCAATCTCAGTCGTAACGAACTCGTTGATTTTGTTCGACATGGCCTCCACCAGCTCGGAGTGCTGCATCTGGAAGTCCTCGAGTCTGGAATCGACCACCTGGGTCACGTCCGAAACCTCGGCCGCAGACACCTGCCAAGCTTCCTTGTTGGCGCAGTCCAGATTGGTTTTCCTTTCGATTTTTGCGTGAAGTCCATTGATGTCCGCCACAGTGGTATCCAAGGTGGAAAGCAGACCAGCCCCAATGTCGCGAAGGTGAGCCTCTGTATCCTCATGCGCCTTGCGGAGAATTTCTTCCTCTTCAAGTTGCGACTTGGTATCCTTAAGGACAATCTCGGTTTGTTCGAGGACATCGTTCGTTTTCTTCAGTGCATTCCGTGTCTCTTCATTGTTCTTCTTGAGGTCGTTAAAATTGCTCGTAAGAGAAAAAAGCTCCTGGACCTTGTGGCGCAGGCTAGACTCCATAGACTCAATCTTCGCGCGTTGTTCCTCGTTAACAATCCTGCGAGACTCGCTCTCCATGGTCATCTCTTCGTATGCATCAACACTCATGTACACGCCGTTCCGGTGTCTCGTGGCAATAAGCTCGCCCTTTAGCTTTTCGATCTCAGTTGTGAATTCTCGCAGGAGGGTCTTTTTCGGCATGGTGGAGTTGATCTGGGGTTTGTTGCGAATGTTCTTGGCCCGGAATGCATAGTCCAATGTGGAAATCGTCTCTTCCAGGTTGCTGCGCGACGGCGAGATGGTCGCAATGATACATGTCTTGGTTCTTCCACCAAGTGAGTCTTGCAGGAGACGAGTGAGTTTCGACTCTCTATAGGGGATGTGTGGGCTTTTGTCGACCAGGGCATTGATGACCCGGCCCAAAGTGAGCAGACTCTTGTTGATAAGACCAGCTTCTGCCGCACGCTTGTTCTCCGCCCCACTGCGCTGGATGTTCTCGCTACCAGCCAGATCGACCAAGTTTAACTTTCCAGAGCTGATATACTCTTCGCCAGACTCCGTTGTCCGTTTCGTCATCACAGTAATGGTGAACACCGTGTGACTCCGGGAACTCAGATCGTTGCATTTGGTGGCGGCAACTTGACGCTTGTGGCTACCTTCCTGGAGAAGTTTGATGCCGGTGGACGCAGAGTCGATGAACGTTTCCTCCATTCCCTGTACAAGCGTACTTCCACTGTGGCCTTTCCTTGACTCATTTTCGAAGATCTTCAGTCTGGGGTTCTCTTCGGCCGAAAGCAGGTCGCGGAGCTCTTCGTTGTACAGCTCGATGAAAGAACACTTGACAGTACTTTCTGTGTCCTGCAGCTTGTGGAATAATGAGTATAACACACGAGGTATAATACCGGCATTGTCGGATAGTATGCCCAGCGTGTCGGTCATGTCGCCGGACATTGTATAAGTCTTTCCGGTTCCTGTTTGTCCGTACGCGAAAATGGTGCAGTTGTAGCCAGCGAGCATCTCGTTGACGATCGGGATCACGACATCCTCGTAGACGGTGATTTGGTCGGCAGCCGCTGAGAAGACCTTGTCGAAGGTGTAGGTCTTGTTGGCCAATGCATTTGGGCCCATCGACAATTGCACGGTTTGTCCTTTGGCGCCTTCCGTGGACACTACAACTCCACTGTTTTCCTTAAGTTCCCGGTCATTCCGGCCTCTGCACCGGACGACGACATGGATGCTCGTATCTTCGTTGATCTCGCGCTCGAAGTCTCGTTCTTTCCGTTTCGCGGTAATGCTAGCAGGTTCGACCGCTGATTTCGTGGCACGCGATGCGCTAGATGAGGGCGCCTTGGATGCGATCGCTGGAGATGCCGCTCTTTCCGTGGTTGACATCGTAGATCCGAGTCTTCTTGTGGTCGGGCGCGTCGCTGTCGCTGTTCGTCTGGTTGGCAGCCCTGAGGCAGGCCGTGGGGGGCCAGCCATGATGATTTAGATGAGGTTATCCAAGGTGATACAGGCGTGATCTATGAAATTAGTCGCGCCTCAAGCTAAATCTGCAGAAATGCTTGAAAGATGCGCACCAACATAGGCGGTGGTCGGCGAATTTGGTTCAGGAGGTGCTGTCAGTCTGTTGGTTATGGTTAGTTGATCCGCTGTTATTGACTTCCCGTCTCAAAGCGGAAAATGTAAACAAAGCGGGTTCACCGCCCACGTGCCGGCGGGATTGCTCGTCATGCCTCCATCTCACATGATAGCATGCGTTCATCGCCGCTCCGTGCTCCTCCTGACAGTCCTTATCATTGTTGCTCTCCAGGAATTATAATTTTGCTTCTGCATCATCACCGGGCTTATCCTGACACGTAATCTGTCTAGCTTCGCCTTGGAAATTTCAGTGGTTGTGCTTTGGTGCAGCCTGGCACCTTCAAACACCTTCAAAGATACATATACTAATCCGACCCGCCCCTCACCGTCTCCGCCTCAGCATGCAGTTGGTTTATATTCCATCATGACTTCTTCCTCTTCTTCCAGGCCTTCACCACAAGCCCAGATCTACCCTGGAAAAGGGCTGGGGTTTATAAGCATGTTGAACCCTTATATTTTATTCAAACAGCACTAACCTGTGTCTGTATAGCTCTGGGAGCCTCCCTCCACAATGTGCTCAGCCGCGTCAAGTCCCATCCCCAGACGTACCCCGCAATAGATATCGCATATTCGTCCTCGGAACCTCTCCGGAAACCCGTAACGCTACAACTTCCATCCAGCGGTCTCCGCCTGCGGTTCGATGGGCCAGATCAAAGGTTGCGGTTGATCGAAGTGCTTGACTTCTCGAAGATCACCCTCGTCTACAAGAACCAGGAGGTGCTGAAAGGCATCAAACCGCAAGAGCCCTCCGTCACGCAGCAAGGGCCCAACTTTCGCCACATCTACAATCGTTTGTTTGGTCCCTCTTACCCTGGAGAATACATACCTCCCGACAGCCCCCAATCGCCGTATGGTACCTACGTGTTATCCTATCCCGGCGTCGCATTCTCCTTTCCGCTCCAGAACTCAGCATGGTCGGACCAGTGTGACTTTGTAGCATTACTTTCTTCATCGGCTGCATTACCCGCAACCTCGATGTCCATTTTCCAAGGATCGTCATGGCCGGAGGCTCGAAACAAATTGTTTACCCAGCAGCCCCAGTACCCGCGTTCCCCAGCGCTGGTCGGTAAAATCAGGGAGGTCGTCCCGGATGAGATCGAGGAGTTCCTGATTTTTGGGGCTGGCAAGATCGAAGCGATCCGACGGTCATCCCCGCCGACCCAGATAACATTGTCAGAAACCACTCCGCAGGACTTGATTGCCGAGTTCGGACCGCCGGATGCAATATACCGTAAGAACGATCGCAGAATAGCCATCCATCGCGCCGCAGGCCGTAGCGCTGGAGAGGACGCTCTGCACATGGGCCCATCTTCGGGGCGCGGGATCGATGTCACCGACCTGGATCATTCGTCTAACAATAGCGTGACCGACGACTCGGATGACGAAGCCTCCCAGGCTCCCACGCTGGACCCATCCTCTCTTCCGAGCGAGTGCTTCTTCAATTACTTCCATCATGGCTTTGATGCCTTCATCTCGTACCCTACCGCATCGGGCCCGGCCTTCCCTGGATCCGACCTCCCGGATCCAACCCCGCCTTCGCCGTCTTCCCAGCTGGTAGTGACCAAGATCATATTGCATGGAAACGTGCCAGGCTCGTATCCGTTCAACCGGCACCGTCGCAGTCGCTGGAAGATTATCCACAACCCAGCCGACGACGCCCTCACATCTGAGACTCGCTACGAAGAGATCTCGGAGCAACTGCGTTCAGTCTGGAAGGGAGCCTATGCAAATGCCGCGGAGGAGCGTGCCTTGCAAAGACCCATGATCTTGAACCGGGGCTGGGGCGACAGTCCGGAAAGCAGTGTCGAGTTCCTAGGCGGGTGGGAAGAAAGCACCGGGAAGGGGCAGAGGACCGGGCAAGAGGCCCATGATGGAGGTCTAGGGAACACCGAGCTGTTTGGTTTTCCGGGCCTGTTGTTTGAGGTCATGAAGAACGGGGCGGTGAGCTGCCTGACATTGTACTGACCGAGTCATGAAGGCGTTGGCGTTCAAAGGAGCCTTGTATATGTTTTTCATTCCATTTTCACATGACTACTAGCAACATGCTGGAAGCAGCGGGCGGGTATTACTCGGTATTGATATAGGCTTGACAATACACACTTGACCTTAGTATAAATCCTTTGATTGGTTGAACTCACCAAAGTTTCCGTATGTGTAATTTGTAAATTACCCGCACCGGAGCTTTCCCCAAAAGTCCGCAGTCCCATCGACTCGAAACCCTCCAACAGCCTTTTCTCGCAACCCCAACCTGACCTGACCCAAAAAAGGCGGGATATGACCCGACAATAGTATGGCGGAACTGCCACGGACGCTCGCTCGGTCCTGGTCGTCGACGCTCAAGCTCCCCAAGTCGACGTTCCCCGCGCGCGTGACGCCGGCCGACCAGGCCAAATACCTGCGCCGATGCACCGACGACCTCTACGCCTGGCAAGAGCGTGAGCGCCCGGCCGACCGGCCGTTTGTGCTCCACGATGGACCTCCCTACGCGAACGGCGAACTGCACGTCGGCCACGCGCTGAACAAGATCACCAAGGATATCATCTGCCGCACACAACTGGGGCTGGGGCGGCGGGTGCGCTTTGTGCCGGGCTGGGACTGCCACGGGCTGCCCATCGAGCTCAAGGCCCTCGAGGCGCAGAAGGAGCTCCAGACTGCGGACGGCGTCAGCGCGGCGGCGGTGATCCGCAAGGCCGCCCGCAAGCTGGCGGACAAGACGGTCAAGGCCCAGATGAAGGGCTTCCGGAGCTTCGCGGTCATGGCCGACTGGGCCAACCACTGGAAAACAATGGACCGGGCCTTCGAGAAGCGGCAGCTGGGCATCTTTCGGGCGATGGTCGAGAAGGGACTCATCTACCGGCGCTTCAAGCCGGTCTACTGGTCCCCGTCGACGGGCACGGCGCTGGCCGAAGCGGAATTGGAATACAAGGATGACCATGTGTCGACCGCGGCGATGGTCAAGTTCCCGCTCGCGCGGATCCCGGCGCATCTTGCCCAGGATCCGTTGCTCCAGGGTAAGGAGGTCAGTGCGGTGATCTGGACGACTACGCCGTGGACGCTCCCGGCGAACGCCGCGATCGCGGTTCACGAGGCCCTTGAGTACACGATCGTCGAGTCGGAGACGCACGGCCACCTGCTCATCGCGCAATCGCGCTTGGAATACTTGGAAAGCGCACTGAAGGAGAACCTGTCGGTCATCGTGCCGGCGATCCTCGGTTCTCAGCTGGCGGATCAGACTACGTATCGACCTCTGTTCAAGGGAGCGGCTGCGGAGGCGCAGCCGATCATCGCGGCGGAGTTCGTGACGGCCGACTCTGGGTCGGGACTGGTTCACTGCGCTCCGGGTCACGGTATGGAAGACTACGAAGCCTGTCTCTCGCGTGGCATCCCCGCTTTCGCGCCCGTGGACGATCATGGCAAATTCACCGACAAGGCGATGCCCGTGGCTCCCGAACAGCTCCGCGGGAAAAGCGTCCTCGACGAGGGTAACGCGGCAGTGCTGGAATATGTCGAATCCCAAGGTCAACTCCTCACTCAGCATAAGTACGAGCACAAATATCCGTACGATTGGAGGTCGAAGCGCCCAATCATCATTCGAGCTACCGAACAGTGGTTTGCCGATGTGGCCGACATTCGCGGCCATGCCCTGGAAGCGCTGGACGACGTCAACTTCGTCCCAAGTTCCGGTCGGCAACGCTTGGAGAACTTCGTCAAGAACCGCAGCGAATGGTGCATCTCTCGTCAACGTGCCTGGGGCGTTCCCATCCCTGCTCTCTATCACCGGGGCACTGGCGAGGCCGTGCTCACGAAGGATAGCGTGACTCATATCATGAAGGTGATCGAGGAGCGTGGCATTGACGCATGGTGGACGGATGAAGCCAACGATGACGCGTGGATTCCACTCTCGCTTCAGGACGCGACTGGTCCGGGCTATCGACGAGGAACCGACACGATGGATGTGTGGTTTGACAGTGGCACCAGCTGGTCCGAAGTGGATGTCCCTTACCGTGAGGATGGCCGCCCGGCTGACGTGTACTTTGAAGGGAGCGACCAGCACCGAGGCTGGTTCCAATCCGGGCTTCTCACCTTTGTCGCTCATCAGCTTGCCTCGGGACAAACCACCTCCCCGCGTGCGCCTTTCAAGCACCTCATCACCCACGGGTTCACTTTGGATGAAGAAGGCCGCAAGATGAGCAAGTCAATTGGCAACGTGATGCTGCCGCATGCGATCATGGACGGATCGCTTTTGCCACCCTTGAAGCCGAGAAAAGGCAAGGGGAAGAAGCAGGCCGAAAACCAGGCTCCGATGTACGACGCCCTTGGGCCGGATGCTCTCCGCATGTGGGCCGCCAGCAGTGACTACACTCGCGACGTAGTGATCGGAAAGCAGGTGCTCCAAACGGTGCACACCAGCCTGCACAAATACCGCGTGACGTTCAAGCTCCTGCTGGGTGCGTTGTCGGATTTCCGCCCCGAGCACCGTGTCCCGTACGATGAGCTGCAACAAGTGGACCGCATCGCCCTGAAGCAGCTATCTGAGATGGTCTTGACCTGCCGGAAGGCCGGCCAGAACTTCGAATTCTACAAGGCCGTGAATGCGATCAACCGCTGGGCCAATCAGGAATTCTCGGCCTTCTACATGGAGGCTATCAAGGATCGACTCTACACCTACGGCGAGAACAGCGCAAGCCGGCGTGCGGCGCAGACGACGCTGTTCCACATCTACCAACATCTCCAGGAAGTCCTGGCGCCCATCACCCCCATGCTTGTGGAGGAGACGTGGGAGCACACCCCCGAGGCGATCAAGACGCAGAGCCAGCATCCTCTGCAGCGCGTTGTCTCAGCCCCGGCTGCGGGATGGCAGAACGAGGGTCTCGAATCCGACTACCAGGAGCTGGCCGCCGTCAATTCCGTAGTCAAGGCGGTCCAAGAGAAGGCCCGCGGCCAGAAGCAGCTGGGCTCCTCTCTTCAGTCATTTGTGCACCTTGTCCTTCCCGAAGACTCGACACCCGCGTCGGTGTTCCACCGGGATCTGACCGAGTTACCCGATTTCTTTGTGGTGTCGTCCGTCAGCCTCGGTGCTCATGGCGAGCCGATCCCCGAGTCGATCGCGCAGGCGGAATGGCAGTACAGTGAGGGATATGAGCTCCCCAGCGGAGCCAAGGGTACGGTGTATGTGTACAGTCCGCAGGCGGGTAAATGTCCTCGGTGCTGGCGCTATGTGGTTGCGGAGAGTGAAGCGGCGGAAGAGACGGTGTGCGATCGCTGCGAGGGAGTCGTGCAAGAATCGGACGCTGCAGCTGCAGCTGCGACTGCAGAGGTGTGAGTGGTCAGTTCCTTGATCAATTCCCGGATTCCTGGATTCTCGGATTCCTGCAGTGGATTCCTGTATTATAAGTTACTGTGTAGTTTAATTTTAGCATCTCACTCCAAATCGTACGCAAAGAGTATCCATACCTTATGTAAGTCACAGCGACCATTCTAGATCAGTCTTGCGGGGAATCCTGGTTGCGTATAGCTGGTGTTCTGCAGCGCTTATTGGTGGTGATGGGGATAACGTCATGGACCTCAAAGACCATTAGCCATTAGCGGCATTGCCTTGTCACTCAGGACTGTCCCCCAATCTCCATTTGTCAATGTTCCCTTGAATCCTGACAGCCTTCAATGACTGGTAACGTGAATCAGGCAACATCCTTGGAGCCACCAGTCGGAGAGTCGGAGCTCGCTGCTGATTAAAAGATGACTTCCAAGGTTCTCTGTGACACCTTTCCCCCTCCCAGTTGATGGTCTCTGATTGGATTCCTTCTTCAAACCTCGACTTCCATGACGACAGCAGCGAGGTCAGCATGACGACTGCTGCTTGCAATGATGTTTCAGGAAGGATGAAAAAAGGGCTGGTGCTGGACTGCTGCTTCCTCGTATATAACCTCCGCCTTCCTCTCACTGTCTTTTTATCCCCCGCATCCTCTTATCGATAACCATCACTTATCGCTTTCCATCCATCCTTTATCCTCCATCATCATCACCAACAACATCATCATCGTCGTCAGACTGCCAGCTGCCAAACGTCGTCACGATGATCGAGACCTTCATCAAGGAGACTTTTCCGGGGGTGACTCCGACCTCGACTGTGGCGCCCATCCCCACCGTCATCCCAGGCAATGAGCCCATTTTCCAGGAGATCCATGATACTGGCAAACGCACATTATGGTTAGTCTTTCCCTATGGAAGCTTTAAGCTCAGCTTTTAACGATACGCTCTTACTAGGGTCGTCACCGTGCTCATGGCCCTGTCTTCCCTGGTGTTCTACATTCTGGGAGCTCGTGTACCACTGGTAAGTTCGTTAACAACCTCAACCCCAAGTACCCGCGAGCCATCTCGACACCACTCAAGTCATCTTATGCACTCACTAACTCTTCGACCAAAAAAATCAGAGCAAGCGCCTCTTCCACACTCTCGTCTCCCTTTCCGCCACCATTTCCTTCATCATCTACCTCGCCCTCGCCACCGGCGGCGGCATCACCTGGAAAGTCGACACCGTCAAGCTGCACAACAAGCATGTGCCCAACACGCACCAGGACTACATCCGCCAGGTGCTGTGGCTGCGCTACGTACTGTGGTTCCTGACCGAGCCGCTCAGCCTGATTAGCTTGAGTCTGCTGTCCGGTCTTCCCGGGGCTCACCTGCTGGTGGCCATCGCCGCCGATTTCATCATGCTGGGCTCGGGTCTGCTGGGCACCTTCGCCGGCCACACCTCACGCCGTTGGGTCTGGTTCACCATCAGTGCCATCGGATACCTGACGACCGTGTACCACATCAGCGTGAACGGGGCCCGCGCCGCCAGCAACAAGGATAACCAGACCCGCAAGTTCTTCGGAACCATCTCCGGCGTGACTCTGCTGGTGAAGGTTTTGTTCCCTGTGTAAGTTCTACGAGGCTCTACCTCTCATAACTGTGTATGCTAATAAGGGATGCGTGTAGCACCATCGCCGCAGGCGTTTTGGCCCTGAAGATCAACGTTGATGTGGAGACTATTCTGTTTGCCATCTACGATATCTTCTCCCAGGGATTAATCGGATACTGGCTGATCATTGCGCACGACAGTGCTCAGGGAATGTAAGTGCTTGCCATTTTTCCCTGTTCGTTCAATGCCTAATCATGAACGACAGTACCCTTAACGTGGACGGCTTCTGGTCCAACGGTATCGGCAATGAGGGCGCCATCCGTATCGGTGAGGATAACGGAGCTTAAATTGCGACGGACTTGTATGTATCTCAAGGAGAGTGACGGGTGACGGACAATTCCACTGGGATTTTCGGTTTGGGAGGTAGTGTGAACAGAAGGGGTTTGATATGACTGGACGCTCGGCGTGTCTGCCTGGCATTACGACTTAACGTATCGTTTTATGTTTCCGAACTGATGGTTCTAATGTTGTGGACGGAGGATCGAAGTATGAACCGGGATAATATGCTGCTACCATGGGGGCGTCGGACAGCGAAGGAAGGAACATTCTGTATGTTTTATGATGATCAGTGTCGTTCGAAATTGGGCGTTGAGCCGTGGAAATAATCCAACCGAGCGATTGATTGTAATCAAGTTTCATGCTATACCAGTGAGGTTGATATGAATATCTTGTTCATCCAAGAAGTATTATACTCCACCTCGGATCCTTGGCGTTACAGTATCACCAACTTGGGATTTGAAGTGTAAAGAGTTGACAGTCATCGATCCTAATTTTTTTTCTTCATTTCAAATAACTTATCGCATTAAGATTACACATTTCCAGTTCCCATCGTTCCAGTAAACCCAGTATTCGCACCATTAGACATTACCGATCTCTCGCTCTTGCATCCATCGCCATGCCCTTTCCCGAACTCCGTTGCGCCAAACCAATTCATAAAAAAACGAAAAGAAAAGAAAAGAAAACAGTCAGATCATCTGAAGATGAGAGAACGGTGAACAGAAACGCAGCTGATCAGAAGAAAATACTCTTCCAAAGAATGAGGCCCGCTCGCGAAGTAAGAAATCAAGGTGGTGACTTGCCAGAAGGCCTAGTTCTTCTGTTCCTTTACACTGACCCAGCAGCGGCAGGGGCATCACCCACCTCCGCCCCCTCTTCCTCTTCCTGCCCAGCACCATCCACCCCCACCCCCTCTGGAGTCTCCCTATCCAAACACCCCGGCCCAGTATACGCCATCTCCCCAACCTTCCGTCCACCCCTCAACTGCACGACCCTCAACTCCTTCCGCAGATTCACCCGGCGCGCGACGACGGCCTCCCGGCCTTCTTCATCCACCATAAGCAGCCGGGGATACAGCACGGAGACGCGGTGCATGGCCTCACACAGATAAAGCCCGGCGTCGAGGCAGTAATCTTTGAAGTTCAGGCATTTGAGCCGCGTGGCGTCGAACCAGAGCAGGAAGGGGTCGGCGTCAACCACGAAGCCCGTCAGCGTCAGGGTGCGGATCGACAGGCGGTTGCGCGTGGGGCCTTGCACCATGGCGCAGATCTTGGCCTTCTCCAGGGCGATCTTGTCCAGGTATTCGCCTTCGCCGATGGTGCGCGGGAGGGTGCCGGCGCCGGTGCCGCTGCGAATCATTCAGTGAGTTGGGTTTGGGGGGGGAGATGGGAGTCAGGGGCTTGGGGATGGGGCTTAGGGGGTTTGAGGGTAAAGGAACGTACCAGTAGACAGGGGCACTGTAATGGGTGGGATTCATCGTCCATCCGCCCTTGATGTACGGCCAGTTCCCGGCGAAGGACTGCCGGAGGCGCGGGGGGCAGACCATGCTGAGCTCCAGCTCTTCGAGGCCCGTGTTTAGCCACGCCGCTTGCCAGATGTACTTCTGGTACGACTGCACCATACCTGTGATCTTGAGGGAGCGGAGGTGCCGGAAGTGGATGAGAGGGAACAGTTGCTCCACGGGCAGGACCTCGACGCGCTCCTCTACTTCTTCCTCTTCGTCTTCGTCTTCTTCCTCTTCCTCTTCTCCGTTGGTCTGTTCTTCGGTCTGCGCTGTGGAATCCGCTGCAGCGGTGGTGGCGGTAGTAGATGGGGCTTTGTCGATCGGCAAGTAGACATCGATCCCCAATGAACGCCTGTTCCGCGGAAATCGAGCCCAGGTCGCGCCACCGCGGAATTCTAAGCGCGGGTTGGTCGGGGTGGCTTGCTCGGCTGTGAAGAAAATGATGGGTGGGCTTTGTGCTTGGGCTTGGGCTTGCTGTGCTTGCTGTTGAGGTTGGGGATGGAGACGGGAATGATGTCCGACTTCTCCGGCTGCTGCAGTCTCCGAGTTCACAGGCGTCAGCATCTGCTCCTCGCCGGACCCCATTCTCTTACGGCTCAAGCGCTGGAGCGCGGAGCGGAGGAGCGACGCGGTGCTTTGGTTGTTTCTGTTGGATGCTATGCTGGAGGACCGGCTGAATGGCTGAGGCTGCTGTTGCTGCTGCGGTGACTGCTGCTCTGGGGAGCAAGTCCGGCTCTCGGAGCGCGAACGCTTCGCACGCTCGGCCTTGCGCGATCCGGCCATGGTCAGGGTCAGTTCTGGGGTGTTGGATGCGGTGATTCTGGTAAAGACGTCGCTCATGCTGTAGCGGCGACGACGCCGCGGCTTGTCTGAAGACTTGGAAGTGGCAGAAGTGTTGTTGCTGTCAACAATGTCCGGGGAAGGAGCTCCGTCACCAGCACTACCAGCTCCAGCTCCAGCCCCAGCGGTAAGTGACCGCGCACGGCTAATTTCCTCACTAACAAGGTTGAATGGAAAACGGGTATGGAGAGTTTGATCATGAACTGGACAGAGAGGATCCTCAAAGCGTGTTAGTAGCTGTCTGAAACGATCATTCCATAGATCATAGGTCAGTTCTCAGCAGAGGGACCAGCGTTACTGACCTGTATCAATGAGGTCGTGGACAGGCTGGTTCCTCGTCCCCACGTCGTTCCAGAATTCCGCGCCTAGCAGTGCAAGCTGCCAGTGTGCTGCGTGTTCTTTCATTGCTTTGGCTGGGGAGGGATTGAGTGAGGTGAACTATTGCTTGGGAATTGCGAGTTTTCAAAGGGTAAGACTTGGAGGGAATGGCCAATTTGTGAGAGGCAGCGCAAGCTAGCTGGGTGAAAGATGGGGAAAAGCGCAGTGAAATATGGCACCTGGAAACGATGCAATGGACGACTAACACACAGCCTGGAACACACTGAGCCCATGTCGAGGGTGTTTTGTTTGTCTCTGGTCGAGTGGAGCCGTGGGGCTTCATCCCCTCCCCTTCTCAGAGTATGTTTCTTTTCTTTGGTGATAGCTTGCTTGGTGAAAGAACACATGCTCCCCAATGCCATTTTGGAAAGAAATACAAAGAACAGGGTCGGGAATAAAGGAGCCACTGCATACAAATGATTATCCTTGACGTTGCCGACAAGAGAGAATTCCATTACCTGCGGCCGTATCTTTGTCATGCGCCGTTTCTCTCAATGAAATGGTTCTGAAACAGAAGGACTAGTCATTACAGTATCCCTGCACCATCACTAACGCTTACGGAAGCGCAGCGGTATGTTTCTCCTCAAAGCCAATGTCAGGATCGAGGTACACTCTCGTAATGACCTCTCGGCATCCTGAACTCCTTCCTTGCTATCGTCTGCCAGCTCAACTCGATAGTCTTTAAATATTACGGCCAATGCAACCACAAACTCGACCTGCGCAAACTTCTTCCCCAGGCACGCGCGCATGCCATCGCTGAACGGGATGTAAGCACCTCGGACCGGCTTATGAATGGTAGGATACTCCAGCCCTGGTGCAGAAACACCGGGTAGGCCCGCGTTCTTGGCTAGAAAGCTATCCTCATTCCGCACGTCCCAGCGCTGTGGGCGGAACAGTTCGACGTCGCTTCCCCAGTACTTTTCCGAGTAGTGAAGACTGCTTACGTTCAAGTTTATGTTCAGGCGAGGCTCCAGGACGTAATCCTCCTCACGATAACGGATCTTCCTTGCTGAGTCGCCCGTCCACTTCGGGACAGTTACGACGGGCGGGTACAGACGCATTGTCTCCAGCTAGGTGCAGGTCAGTATGCTATCCGCTGTAAAGAAACAGGCTTGAGGCCGTACGCACCATGACACATAGAGGGGTAACCAGCTTAGGGAACATAGTGCCGTAGTCCCAGGTCCCAGCGTCCGAAGACTCCCCCTTGGTTGCCGCCGCCAGACCTTCATACATCCATTCCTGGACGCCCGGATGCAGAGCCAAGAGCAGGAACGCGAATCGCAGCGTAGTTGCCGTGGTCTCGTGTCCCGCAATGGTGATAATATGCAGGTTGCTGATGACCTCCCGGTCAGTCAAAGTCTGTTGGTCCCGAGACTTTCGCGGATTAAGCATTCCTTGCACCAGGTTGTGGGCTGCGTCTGTGTCTTCCAGTTCCCGCTCCGTTTTGTCGACCAACCTCTGCAGAAACACCTCTAGGTCCCGATGCGCCGCAAAGTCTCGCCTAAAGAACGGGACCAATGCTCTGGGGATCCACTTGGGTAACAAGTTGTTGGCTATCGCGACTGTGCTTATATGCTCGTTCATGTAGGACATCACTGACCGGAATGTAAAGTCGAACCCAGCCGGGGGCGGAGTGCTGTCCTTGAAGATGTCATCCGGACCCTTGAGCATATGCTGGGGCAGGGGCTTGAACGGCAGCTCTACGCCGAAGCCGGCACCGGTCAGGACGTTGAGACTGAGCTTGAGAGAGTCCTGTCTCGTGTCAGTCGCCACAAAGCAGTCACTGGTCTCGTTCGGTCGTGATTCGTGCCAGTACTCGATCAGCTGTTGGCTCTGCTTTATAGCTTGCTCCCACACAAGAGCATTGTTCTTTTCGTTGAAGGTTGTTGCCGTGTATCGACGATGGTGTGTCCATTCTGCATCCTCACACTGTTTGAAATAAGCATGGGCATGGTGTGTGACTACAAATGGTAGTGTCGCACTCACCGTGACGACGTTTGGTCCGTACATGTCCAGCACCGCTAGAAGAGCATCAGCCTCGTGAGCACATACCCACAATTGAGGGAGAGGGAAAAGACTCACCGTACTGATGGATTGGCTTTGTGAAGCTCTGCCGAGAGTTGACGATCTGGGAAACCACCGCCGCATCGGAGACGCTGCAGAAGATGCCTCTCGGGAAGACAAGCAGGTACACATCGCCATATCGTCTTGCTTGTCGATCCCTGGCCCTCCAGCGATAACTTATTAGGGTATCGTACACAGTATCTGCCAGTCGGGCGGGAAACCAGTTTTCGACCAGATAGGAGAACCAGGGTGTATCGAAGAAAGCCATGGAGACGATGCCTGGGGACAAGACAGACACGACATAGGGAAGCCCCGAGCGCTGCGCGACGCGGACATGCTTGAAGAGATCCCTTAGACGGTCAGCGAGGTACAGGCCGAGGAGGCCGAGAATGACCGTGGACCAGATCATTGTAGCCTCGTTGATCTTCCTCTGCTGCGAGTTGTTGATGCCGTCCGGTGACAGAGGTTCTCGGATGGAAAAGAGGCGGTGACAATGGCTATTGTTCTTAGAAGTTCCCAGAGTAAATTTACCCCACGAGCAGGCACATTCCGCTCACAACCCAGTGCACGCGGATTATTATTTTCCCAGATGCCAGATCAGGTTGACATGTGCTTTAGACATGAAGCCTGTTCCGCTTGCTACAGTGGTCGGAATTCCGCTATATTGGCGCTGATAAAGTCATTGTTGTCATACTGAGGTGGCCTATGATATTCCAGGTATTATCATGCTCTGCACCAACCACCCCTGCTAACACTACCTTCTTTATCTAGATTACATGCAAGCTTCAACCAGGATTCACGATTACCTCGCCTGAACGATTGGTCGGGTCGAATGAGGTTGGAGAGCAGGCAACTTAACGCTATGACCAGAATATGTGGGGATCTGGCTATGCCCGGCTCCACAGTATGTTGCCAGTGCTCGAGCCTAGGCATAGCGGACAATAACTTCAAAAATGAGATGCCATCTTCCTCGACATGCATAAGAGCAGACATGCTACAGCCTCGTCGCGGACTTTGATTGCATAGACTTGTGTTGTACAGGAGTCAGAGGCGACTCAGAAGCTGGAATAGAGTTGGGGGTCGTAATACAGTGAGCGACCGTGCCGGAGACTCACAACTAAATGGATCATGTGACCATCCATCCCCGCCCTCCCGAAATATATCTCCGGCAGGTTTGCAGCATCCATCTATGACCTTGATAACTGCTATACTTATGGATGGTTCAACATGACCTCACGGCTGATAATCTACCAGACAAGGTTTCCAGGTAATACTCGGGCATTTCAGGTCGTCATCACCTTTTCTCGGCTTGGTCAAGTGAGGGAGGACTGCATAGTTGACACCGCTTCCAAGTGCGGGGACCCACGAAGCGAATAAGCAGTCTGTGATGCACGTGCACCAACAGCAGCGAGGAGAGTTCAGCCGGCAGGGAGAGATTGACGAACTGAATGCTTTGTTCTTATGTTGATAGGGGATATAGGGTGTACTTGCAAAGTCCTACTTGAAGCCAATCTCGTAAGAGAGTTAGACGAGAGCCAGATCGAGGAGCAGAGGATCTCTGGCAAGGGTTTGACAAGTGCTCTTATGATGTATGTTTCCTCACGAGCTAAGATTTTCCACTCAACATGCGGAGGACAGTAGGCTATGGGTTGGCCAAGTCATTACCCAGTAGTAGGCATACGGAAGGGCTTAACGATAGTCCTCGTTATTGGCTTTAAGTCTGGCAATTAGATCTAC